TTGTTGTTGTTGTTGTTGTTGCTATTATTGTTACTAAAACCTCTTCAGTTTTACTTGGAAGTGTGTATGTCAGACTTGAGTGAGATGACATTTAATGAGAAATTAAATAAGTCAAGTTTTATTTATCATTAGCAAAGGATCTTAATTTATTCCTTTGGTTAGTGGTTGTTTTTGTATTTATATTTGGGTGGTAAGAGCAACGATCGTGGGTTTCTCTGCCATGCTCTTTCCCCACAGGAGCTCTAGGTGAGCCTGGCACTCTCCTTTTATGTTTAATGGTTGTTAATGTTTTTGTTGTTCTTTCTATTTGTCACATGTTTAATTTGAATTGTATGTAAATAAAGGTTAGGTGTATTTATTCTGCTTTTGTTTTATATAATTAAACCATATATCCCCTCTACAAAGTGAGTAGCCAGTGCCTTCCGGTCAATTAAAAATAGATACACAGAACGTAGGGATTCCTTATGACGATCACATATTTTTGGCCACAACTACGTTTACTTATTTTTTTGTCGAACCTAGGGTTGTTATACTACAGTATGTTTTTAACAAACTACTAACACATGAATTCATCGCAGTTATTAAGTGCTTTTTATAAAACTCTCGACAAAACGGGACATTTATTCCAGGTTTAATCTATGGCACAAAAATAGTAAAGGAACAAATAAAAATGATCTGAATTTAGGTCCACACCCACTGATGTATCACTAACTGAGTACGACGCCAAATTAATGGTATCCTGTCGGAATAATCATCCCCTCAAAATTGTATGTTCATTTAGATCCGAAAACGTCCAACAATAAATCACACGATATAAATCACACCTACCGATAAAAATTTGGCCGTATCTGTGACGCGGGTGATAAATAAGGTGTCAACTTTCAGTTTCGACATAATCCATATTTTACTGATATTTCGGCAGGCCTTTGACGGGGCGTTTGTACGTAACAGGAATGTTATTATTATTGTCGTCTGGAAATAAAATCAAATTTTATATGTATTCCGTACAGTTTTAAACAGGACAGACGATGTCTTGCTCAATAATCTACATCTTTTCCAGCATTTTAAAACCGCTAAGTTTAATTTCAGAAGGTGTTTCCCATGATTACATGATGACTATACTTTTAATGACAATTAGAAGAAAACTGGGGAATGAAAATTCATTAAGTTAAGCATTCGAAATAATAGAATCTTTGGCAATTGAAACAAATTACACAGCACCACAAAAAAAGTACTGTACCAGAGACACGAGTACATAGATTTTGTGTATTTTTTTATCCCAATTCCTACTTTGTTTCTGAATCCACTATTTTGTCTAAATGATAATCAAAAACTTACTCCTTTACGATTATCAGCTTCCTTTTAGCGACTTCCGTTGGTCTGTTTAACCGCTCCTAAAACTATTATTCACTTCTCGCCTAATCACTTCGTTCCAGTAACATCGATAAATTTCTAAATTGTTTCCGACAATGACGAACTTGCTCCCGATTCAGTCCCTGCGCGAGCGTGACTGCGAAACAAAAAGGAAACCGAATCTATCTCAAGACCCTACGCTGGGCAAATTGGGTAATTACGATAATTATGTGGAAGACTATTGCCTTCTCACAATAATTTAGCATGCGATACCCCTCTGTAAGTCGTTAAATTGACTAGGAAGCAATGTTAATTGTAAAATAATGGTAGATTGAAATAACTAAATTATTTTTCAAAATGTTACGCTGTTACTCGGTAAGAAATCGAAAACAAGACATATTATAAAACTATTGATAAAATGAAATATTGTCGTAAAGGCTGTAATGCGGAAACATGTTTTTATTTTTTGAATGGGCAAAAGTGTTTAGTACTTCGACCCTCTGAATCTGAATCTAAAGTCAGAATTTCTTGATTAGCTCCTGTTTTAACCCTAACATCAAGGCATTTCCTCTAGAAAGCGATTTTCGAAATTTTAAATCGACTTGAGTAGTCAGTTACTGAAAAAACATTCAAATTCACTGCTCCATAATTCAACCTTGTAACCTCAAAACTCCTTAGCAAAATGACAACTACAGACTCTGTAGATCGATTCAGGAACATAAATTTTGGAAGTCGATAAAATATCGGAGAGAATCAAATCTCCAGTCACCATGTCTTTTTATCTACGCCTGCAATTGAGGAGAAGGAAGGTTTTAAGATCATCGAAAATAATGTTCAGCATACTGCTTTAGATTTGGCAGTTCAAGAAACCATGCAATCAGTTCTGCCACATTGCAAACAGTATTTATACCAACGTGATGCATTTACCAGTTCCTAATTTCAAATATTTTCTTACTCCTTCTACTAAATTCAAGACTGTAATATTTCCAGCTGTTACAAAAGACAGTATTAACTCTTTTGTTTTGGTTTTTGGTATGATATCTTAGATACATAATCCTTTATGTCTCACGTTGCTAGAAGTTTTTTTGTAACTTTTTCTTACTAAGCCAATAATGTTTAGAATTTTAGGATTGCAACGTTCTGATTTTCTATTCAGGAATGCAATTAAATGTACGTATTTCTTGATATTGACATTTTTCTGGAGTCAAATTTCTGATCTTAACATTGAGTAATAGTACCAAACAGATAAAGGCTTAAGTGTTCTGCTTAGTTCGTTGAAATATACTGATAATCCTTTCTCATTAGTTGTATTGAATCTATTTTCTCTACACCAATTTTCATAGCGATCAAAAGCTTGTTCTTATTTCTCACGAGATTGGAAACAGTACTGAAAGGTTCATTCTCAATATCTGATGACGGATCTATATTAGGATAAATAATCAGGATCCTTTAACATAACTTGGTCATAGGTGACCCTTTTTCTTAATAGTAGATTTGTACATTATGTCGTAGTAGAATATGAATTACGAAAATAGCAATTATTGTTATTCTGACCAATAATCTCGACAGGTATAGATAAAAGTTGTACGCAAGATGTGGGATACTACATTATTATAGCACTTAAGTCGTTACATAATCTTTACATAAGTGCGGTCACAATAAATATGTCCCCCTATTGCGGTATCGGGTGTCCCAAAATTCACGCAAGGTTTGATTTTTGCGCCATTTGTACTGTGAAGTGTTGCCAACGAAAAGACAGCTGACAGTTCAGAGTTATTAAAAATGGGCGCTACACAAAAGAGCGACGCATTTTCCTTGTTGAGCAATATTTTAAAAATAATAATAATAATAATAATGAACGCCACAGTTCATACAAAATATAATCAAAATAAGGATTTAACTTCATCAACTGTGAAAAATTCAGGGAGACCGGATCAATTAGTGATCTTAAACACTCTGACCGTCCTTCAACAAGTAGGTCAACACAAAACAGTTCGTGAGAGTCTTGCAGAGAGTCCAGGGACATTCAACACTGTAGTCAAGAATGGGACATTTCGAGTAGCTCCGTACAGCGTCATTTCGAGTAGCTCCGTATAGCGTATTTTCACGAAAGATTTGCATGCTTACAATGTACATTTGACTCAATAACTAAACTATGCAAATCGAAGAGAGTTGGTTGAATGGATTATGGAAAAAGTGGATGCTGATTTTTCGAACATAATTATCTTCAGAGATGTGGCTTATTTTCATCTTAATGGCTTCATTAATCGACAAAATTGTCCCTTATGGGGTTCAGAAAGTCCTCAAGTTATTGTTAAGAAACAAATGCATCTACAACGTGTCATCGTTTGGTGTGGACTTTAGGCTAGAGGCTTCTTCTTCGAAAATGCGGCTGGTTCGGAAATAACAGTAAATAGTACTTGCGATATAATAATACAGTTTTCTGTGCCTAAATTACAAAATATGGATATAGATGACATGATGATTTAAACAAGACGGTGCCACATGCTATACGAGGTGTTAAGTACTCAAAATTGGAGAGTCTGTAAAGCATGTCGAAATATGATGAAAACCTTAGTAGAGTTTTTGTCAGTGGCGGCCCCTAAGGGAGATACAGCCCGTTGAAGAGGTAACTTCGGAAACAGTTTTTATTGCATAACTTCAAAACGGTTTAATATTAAATCTCGAAATTTTGGGGTTGTATTACTATTTATATGCTTAATAATCGGTATAATAAACAAATCAACATTTGCTACAGGGGCATAACAAAATGCGGGACCATGGGGCAAATTTCACAATTTTTTTTGTACGCAATTTTTTCTACTTCCTGAACCGAAATTATGAAATTATCATATTTTGCATAAAAAGGTACTCTTGTTAGATAGAATAGCATGAGCCGTTTTCTAGTAAAATCCATTTCAATAATTCATTACGTGCTCAAAAATTTCTGTTGAAAATAGATGTATCAAATTGTGCCTTGAGAAAATTACAGTTTATGACACTTAACAGAGGTGTCAAGTATGTATATGTCAATTGCTGCTTAGATTATCTCAATATTCCAATCTAAGAAATTTGAATTTAGATATTGTAATAAACAGAATAAACTAAATAATTATTATACTAGTTTAGATACAGAGGAGTCCGCGCTGATTACCTATCCGCGGCGGGCAGGTGTGAACGAATTCGAAAGACTACATTTACAATAAAAATTTTATGGTTCATGGGTCTTTTTTTAATATTTTTTTATTTTCAAATAAAAATAATAAGAGTAATAACATTTTATTATTCAAAATTATTTATGTTACTATTTACTACAAAACTATCTACTTAACTGTGATATTAAACCCTGATTTAGTAACAGTTACATAACAACTACAATAACGATAATAATAGTACAAAAGAAAAATTAAATAAAAATAGTAATTTTCTCATGGCACAATTTGATACATTTATTTTGCAGTAGGAATTTTTGAGCAATTAATGTATTGTTGAAATGACTTTTACTGGAAAATGGCTCATGCTATGAAAATCTAACGCGAAATATTATAAATTTTCATAATTTTGGTTCAGGAAGTAGAAAAAATTGTGTACAAAAAAAATTGTAAAATTTGCCCCATTATCCCGCATTTTCTTGGCCCCTGTAGCAAATTTTGATTTGTATATTATACCGATTATTAAGCATATAAATAGTAAGTCAACCTCAAAATTTCGTCATTTAATATTAAACCGTTTTGAAGTTATGAAATAAAAACTCTTTCCTGAGTTACCCAAAAGCTCTACTAAAGTTTTCATCATATTTCTACATGTTTTACATAATCTCTAATTTTGAGTACTTATTTCGTTAAAATCTTGTATAACCCACCAAGCTCGCGACCACCACGACCACACAGGCGGAAATTGAACGCTGTAATAACGAAATTCAACCGCATTTATACACGGCCCTGGAAAATTTCGACAGTAGAGTGCGTATGTGCCAGCAAAACCATGTAGGTCATTTATCCATGCATAACCCTATTCTGTATACTTTATGAATCAATAAAAAGTTTATAATTTTTAATTAAAAACCTGTGTTTTCTATCATAATTACTTCTTGCGTGAATTATTTTATTAAACGCCGTTTTGCATTTTCCACAATTAATTACTGAAAATGCTAATATTAATGCATTCTGTCTAAAGAGAATATTTATTTCCAGTTATATTTTTTTTCTTATGGAAATAACTAATAAATTAATATCAACGATTACGCTTAAAGTTTCCAACAATGAATCTTGGAGTCCTATTCTTACGGAAACACCTACCCGAACAACTTTTCCACATGATAAATATTATTGCAACAATTTCTGTTAAATTCATGTGACTTTGAACCTCTTTCCGGTTAAATGTCATAATTAAACGAGTCGACTCACGAAGCAGGATTTTTGACCTCTTAATATAGACGATTTTTAAACGAAAAAGTTTAAATTAAGTTCTCACTGGATATCTTAGACGTATTAATATTAAATATATACACCAATAGTCTTTGCCAAGTGAAGATCAAACAGTTTGATAATGAAAAACTCCTGATTAGAGATCGATACCGTTTACAGCAGCGATAATGGAAGTCCAATTTAAATCAAGGGCAGTAATAGAGTCCGCTTTCTGGTATTGGAAAATATAACAATAGGGGAATTGGAGAAATATTCAAATTCAAGATATTAAGCTCTCCTGTTAGGCTTTGGAAAGTGGGTAGAATTCATTTGGAGGTTTACTTATTTTGCAAATGAAAACCGTGAAGTAAATTCGATCAATACTAATTTTTTAAGGGGACTGCAAGGGGTTTTACAAATGATTTTGTGTACAGAGGTTCACAGTAAAAATGAGATGACGCGACGTCTCATCAAGTGGCGGTGACTGAGAAATAAACAATTACTACATATATTCGATATATAAAATTGATCATATTTACAGTAGTGATGGATTAATAAGTTAATATACCGGTAGTGTCACCAAAACGCTGTCATAGCATCGCGACAGTTCAATAGAACCGAATTGTTTCTCAATTGTATTTTTAGAAAAT